ATTAACTTAGAGAGTTTAAAACACATTGGGGAGACATGAGCAAATTGTACTTTTCATGTACTTTCTTGGAAATATTAGAAATGAACTGATCAGGTCAGAGCTGAATAACCAATAGACTATTGGCCTTGAAACTAGGAAGACTGGGATCCAAGTCCCACTTCTGATACATGTTGACTACGTGGTCTTGGCCAAGTCACCTAAACTCTCAGTGCTCTAGGCAATTCTCTAAGATTTTAAGTTACAAATGAGGCACTAACCTGCATTGTGGAGGGAGTTTCCTCACCCAGGAGTCCCCATTCCAATGAAATTATGGCTATCGTTCCTGTCCCCATCTCTGTGACTGAATACCTGACATAACTGTAGCATACTCACAATGGAATCCTTACCTGGTCACATTTAATTCAATCTAATGCAGCAAATACTTACTAAGTACTTATTACATCAAAATCACTGTGTTAGCCTTTAGAGATACAAAGGGGAAAAAAATCCAAAATACGTTCTACCCAGAAGTAATTTATATTTTACTGAGAAAACATGGCATGTACAAGAGATTAATACAATTCAAGGTAGTGTATGATGAGAGGCAAAGGAAAGATCAAAGGACTCTAATGATATTTTGGAAGATGGGGAAACTATCATCTCTGGGGATCAGAGAAAGCTTCATGGAGAGGGGCAGTAAGTGGACTGAGCATAGAGATTCTGAAAGGCATAGATAAGAGAGCATATGAGAGATGATCTATGCAAAAGCAGAGGCGGCAGATGGAATGTGAAGGAAAGAGCTAATGGCCAAATTTGGATGGAACATAAAAGTATATGAAGGGAAGTAATGTGAAATGAAGCTGGAAAGGTAGGTTAAAGGCAGACTATGGAAGACTTTTGATGCTAGGATAAGGAGTTTTGTATTCTATCTCAGTGGCAAAAGGAAATCACTGAAGGATTCTGAGTAGGGAAGTAATGGTACTCAGATCTATGCTTTGGGAAGATTATTTTGGTGGTAGGATGGAGAATGGATTTGAGAGAGAAAAGATTAGAAACTGCTTAGGAGGCTATTACAGCAGCCCAGCTGAGTAGTGATGAAGACCTGAATTAGGGTGAAAACAATGTAAATAGAGAGGAGACAAATGTTAGGGATATTCTAGTTAGAGTCAAAAGGAATTGAGAACTGATTAATCTATCAAAAAGAATTAAATGTATACTATATGTCAGGTACTGCTAAGCACTGTGAATACAAAGAGAAGTATATTAAAAAAACAAAACAAAACAAAGCAACAGTACCTGCCCTCAAGGAGTTCACATTGTAATAGGGATTACCACTTGTAAATAGCTAGATCTATATAAGATATATACAAAATGGTTGGGAGGTCATCTCAGAGGAGAAGGCACTAACGTCTAGGAAGGCCTTCTTTGAAGAAGGAGGATAAAGAAATTTAGACCCAGATTGAAACAAACCCATGAAATTAAGGAGTGGAGGTGAGGAGGGGAACATTGCAGGTTTGGGATTAGTCCATGCAAAAGCATGGAGATGGATTGCTGTGTGTGAGAAACAGCAAATTGGCCAGTGCTGCTAGACCATCAAGGGCATAGTAGAGGGTAGAATATAAGAAGATTGGCAAGGTAAGATAAGACCAGGCTGTGAAGAGCTTTAAATGACAAACTGGTTTTATATTTGACACTGGAGATAATAGGGAATTACTGGTATTAATTGAGAGGAAGTGGGTAGAGAGTGACATGGTCACTGGGTTTTAGGAAAGTCACTTTGGCAGCCATTGGCTGATTGAAGGATAAACCTTGGCCCAATGGTCTTTAAAAAAAGAAACTTGCCAATTCTGAAGTCAATCAAGATAGGAGGAGCTCTATCTGTCAAAAATTCACCTGTGGTAATCAAGAACTAAGCCTGCTGTGGAGGAAGAACCCAGCTATTGGGAGGGAATTGTTTTTTGCCTCTTGAGCCTCTTCCAGAGTGCATCAGGGATGTGGGTTTAGGGGGACAAATTTTCTTCTCATCCTCTTCCCTGCCATTGCCAATGGCATTTTGCAGCTGAGTAAATTTGTCAATAGGAGACTTTGCAGGTAGCAGAGAGCAATTCTAGGAAGTCGAGGCTCAGAGTAGATATGCTGTACCAAATGAGAAGTTAGCTCAAGAAGTCCAGTGGGGCAACCCATGGAACAAAGAAGCTGTAACCAAGACACTATGGGAATGGAAAGACCATCAGGGTCCCATAGCGCTGCCTGAGAGTTGCCTTGGCCAGGGATGTGTCTCTCCACTTGTGAACTCTATTTATGTGCCCGCTCTAATCAAATAGGCTGTGTGTATTTTGGGCAGGGTATGCCCCAGATTTAAGGGGGAGATGTTTTGTAGCTCCTTTCTTAGTATGCCATTTCAGTAAATGCCTTTATTTGTATACACTATATAAATATTAAAGGTAAAGACATTGGTAAGTGCTTATAAGCCATAATTTTGAGGGTGAAGACACAAAGAGAACCTTGGGCTTGGGATATTGACTTTGGAGAACTAAAGCCATGAAAGAAAGTTGGGGTGGGTAGCCCAGGGAGAGCACTATATATGAATATTATTTATGGGGTGGTACTTTCAGGCCTGGACATCTGAGACAGAGCACAATTTACTACTCCTATGAAAGGTTGCTTCACAACCCCTAACACTTTGATGCCCATCCTCCACCCCACCACCAAATAATCTTCCCAAAGCATGTATCTGAGCACATTACTTCCCTACTCAGAACCCTTCAATGATTTCAGCTCTGGTGGTTCATTCGTTAGAGAAACTTCCTCTGTAAAATATGATTAAGTCATAATTTTTAGAAAAGAAATGGGTTCAGACAGTGAGAGAGCATTCTGAAGGTCGCATAACCCCACATTCATTTCTCATGGAGTACTTGAAGTGAGGGCCATCTCTGAGTCTCTTGTTAATGAGGCCTTCCATAGCCCCTGAGGATGTGCACCTGATCTAAATGTCTCCAAAGCTATGCCATTTTATAGAAAGCTAACTATACGACAGATGGACAAGTGGCCCATTATGGGCTCTGGACTGTCGGTCCACCCTTCACATGGCAGCAATCTGATTTGCTCCTACAAAGCATCCCAGGCCCTCGGTGGTCAATAATGCACTTGGCTGGTACATGAAAGGTTATGTGGGGCAGTGTTAATACTCTACTTGCTGCAATCCTGTCTGCAGACACAGGGCCTGTGTCACAGTCCTCCTATAGAAGCTAAGCATAATAACCAGTGGACCCAAATGCAGCCTAAAGGAGGCTAGCTTTATTTATCACGCTGCCTGGCACTGGTTTGTTTGTGGATTCATTTCAGAGTTAGTGTTAGGATAATTTTGATAATAGTTCCTAGCACATGGTAAACATCCAGTAGATCAGAGTTTCTTTACCTGAGCTTAAATTTTTTTTTCTTGGTATCTGTGTCTCATCAGAATTGGTTCCTTTGTAATTCTATACATTTTATCTTATGCATTTGAAAAACATTATTCTGAGAAGGGGTCCACAGGCTTCACCAGGCTGCCAAAGGGGTCTATGACACAAAAAGGGGTAAAAACCCCTGCAACAGATATTTGTTGATTGATTAATCCCTCTATTCAGATGGTTCAGATGAAAACATATGTCCCAAATGAAGCAATATCAATGCAATCAAAAGACCAATTTTTCCTGGAGTCAGAAGACTTGAGCTTTAATTTTCACCTGGTCACCTTAGGGAAATTATGACTTTTCTATGCCTCAGTTTCCTCATCTGTAAAATGAGGAGCCTTTCTGAGGGCTCTTCTATTTCTAAATTGGTGATCCAAGCAATATTTACAGAGAAACAATGTGGTGACATGGGAAAAAATATTGAGATGGAGTCCTATGACCATACTTCACCCAGCTCTGCCATCTGCTACAAATGTAACCTTAGGTAAGTCACCTAACTTCCCTAGGCCTTACTTTCTTCATTTGTAAAATGAAGGAATTTGACAAGATGATCTCTGAGGTCTTTTTGAGCTTTAAATCTTTGGCCTTCTTAGAAAATAAGGGCATGGAAGCAGTCTGTACATAACAGAATCACAGTTTCACATACAATCCTCTTTGTGTTCCACTGTTTATGTGGAAATGCCCATTTTTATGTTAAGTTCAAAATAAAATAAAATTTTAAAATCTGAGCATGAAATGAGTTATTTTTCATTAACATTTATATAGAATGCAAATTTAAATAGAATTTGTTATAAAGAAAATTCTTTTTTTTCCCCTGTAAGGAAAGAATGTCTCCTTTGGTAGAAATGAAATTAATCTACAGACTGCTCACCAGTGTGTCTTTCGCCTTGTCTTTTGTTTACCTATGTTTAGTCAGTGTGCTTGGAAGGGTGTGTTATTAATAATAAAATTTGTTACTCCAAATTGAAGTAGCTTTGGGAAGGGATGGGCTGGTAAATGTTTAATAGCTGGCTCTCTGAGGAAAAATGGAATCATGATACGTGTTTAAATTTAACATACATTATCAACATATTTTACATCACTTTTTTCCCTTTTTTTTTTTTTTGAGGCAATTATAGTTAAATGACTTGTCCAGGGTCAGGTAGCTAGTAAATATCTGAGGCTGGATTTGAACTTAGATCCTCCTGACTCCAGGGACAGTACACTATCCACTCTGCCATCTAGCTGCCCCTTTCCATTTAGTTTTTTTTTTTAAGTCTAAACAATCAATAAAATAATAAATCAACCCCTGATTTTTAGCATTTGCCAATTTCTGAATTATAAATCTCACAATGAAAATTTAACAAGTAGCCCTCAAGTTTGTTCAAGTTGACTCCAGCACACCCCTGGATATGGAGATCTGGAAAACAGACAACAATCAGATTCTGCTCCAAATAGGACTTATATGTTGTTGATATTCTGGAGTCAAGAACAGAACTCTAGAATTCTAGCCTTTAATCTGAGCCAGTCCTAATCTTAGTCCTAATTCCTTAGTCCTAATCTCTAAGTCCCAACTTGACCAACCTCTGAATGCCTTCATCTCTCCCGTCCGTTAGGACCTCGGATCTCTTTGCCTTCTTCCAGTCCCAAGTCCTCAGTGTTGGATAAGGGGAGCACTCAGAAGTAGCCCATCTTTGTCTGTAGAACGGCAGATTAGCTTTCATCAGTCTGCTGGGTATTGACTCAAAAGGGGCAGCTACACCATGAATACACAGTCCAAACTGTATCTGAACCTCCAGGCAACCAACCCCACATGTGGTCATCTAGCCTTTGCGTGAAAACCTCCAAGGAGGAGGAAACTCCTGACTCCCAAGGTGGCCTTTTCACTTTCAGATAACTTTTTATTGTTACCAAGCTCTTCCTTTTAGATGATCTAAGCATAGGACTCTGCAAATTCCGTTCATTGTGCCTAGTTCTGACTTTAGGAGTTCAAGTAGAACAAGTTTAATCTTTTTTTCCCTCTGACAACCTTTCAAATATTTGATGACAGCCATCACATGCCCCTCAATTCTTCTCTTCCCCAGTCCTCTTAACTGATCCTCCATAGGTTATGATCACTTGATCTTTCTTTGGTCTGCTGGTTATATTTTCTCCCCCTATTACTTCTTAATTTACTTTGGGCCTAGAGTCAGGAAGGCCTGAGTTCAAATCTGGCCTCAGACATTTACTAGCTATGTGACCCTAGGCAAGTCACTTAAATCTGTCTCAGTTTCCTCATTTGTAAAATGAGCTAGAGAAGGAAACGGCAAGTTTCCTTTGAGTGTCTTTGCCAAGAAAATCCCAAATGGAGTCATGAAGAGTATGACATGGGGTCAGTGAGGTGGCGCAGTGGATAAATCTCCAGCCTTGGAGGACCTGAATTCAAATCTGGCCTCAGACACTTGACACTTACTAGCTATGCGACCCTGGGCAAGTCATTTAACCCTGATTGCCTCAACAAAAAAGAAAGAGTCCAACATGACTGAAAAATGACTCAATAACAATATACTGTATATTGATTAATGTGTTGTCCTCGCCACCTTCCATCCCTAGAATACAAGATCCTTGAGGTTGGGGAATAGTTGAAGCTTTCTTTTTATCTTTGTATTCCCAGTGGCTTGTGTTGGCATGCATGGCACACCCAGCCTATTCTCTAAACACACCCATGGTACCTTGCATAAAGCAGGAAATGAATAAAAACCTGTTGAATGAATGACTGGCCTCCAGGTCATTCCTTGAAGAAGAATCGCTTTGAAGAGGAGTCTTTCTGGTTGCCTTTCTCAGAGTTCTCCAGTTTATCAATTTCCTTCTTAAAATATGTCACCCACACGTGAACAGCAAACTCCAGAAGTGGTCCAAGCAAGGACAAACCAACCATTTTCAAAATGTGGCTAGTATGGAATAGGAATACTGTAAGAGATACTAACATGAACACATAGCATGCATAAGAATTGAAATCATTGTTATCTCTCACAAACAAAAGGTCTCAACGAAGCCTCTAGGAAACTGTGAAAGCTTACACTTTTGGGAAAACTTTCACACCCCTCAGAACTTTCTGTTTTTTTTTTTTTAAATTATTATCATTCCATCCAAAAGTGCTAGCAGAATAGCTGTTCTTTTAGGAAGCAGGAGACTTTGTAAATTGCCTGGGGAGAATAACTGATCTCTCTGAATCACCAGTATGTTACAGAAGACAACAGCTTACAGTCACATCCCTTTGCATACTCATTTGACCCAAACCTCTGAGGCATTTCAGGTTTAGCTACTGCAAATAGAAAAACATAACAAGGTCCACAGATCAGTTAAACACTACCATTTCTCACTCTGCTGATCTGCAAAGCCATGTAATTTACACAAAAACCCCTGCAGTGTCACCTCATTTAAAAAAAAAAAACTTTAGCAAGCTGAAATCTTGAAGGACACTTTACTGGATTAAATAAATGCATATATTAAATATAGTATATAACAGACTATACATTTATGTATCACACTATAAATTTACTATACTAGTATATACTGTACTTTATATTTACATATATAGCATATGCATATATGATATAACTACCAAACAACTATGTATGACTTTTATAATAATTTGATTTCATTTAATTGCTGGTTCATAGAATTCAGTAATATGAACAACTATTACTAGGGTGACAGAAAGGAAGGTAGATGAATGATAGATATAGGAAGACAATGAGTCTCCTGTCTCTGATGTTAATTAGTAAGTCCACTCTATATATTCCATCTGTTCACAAACTATGACCCCAACATGCATGCTGCTTGGAAAAAAGAGACCAAAATATATAACTACATAATAATTGTCAAGGTTCAGGAATACTTTTTGAATTTTGGTACAAGAATCCAACCTTAGTATAAAGTTCATTTATCTCTGAAACTAACTTTTTTATAAAGAGGGAACATATGACATCATTAACAGTGGATATGTTTCTATTATTTTTTAAAGTACTATCTTTCATCCAAATTAAACATTAGTTGTTTACAGGCAAGGCAATTTCAGGCAACTACTGACTTGTTTATTTAGATAGTCAAAATGTGTACATTACTGTCCTTGCCCAAAATCATGAGGAGTATTCAGAGTAAGATTGGCTCATGGATTGAGTATTTTAAAACTCAAAAATATTCTTGATATTTTCAATAATAATCAGAATTTACTGTAGCCATTGCAATAAAAGCATCTTGACTTACACTAGTAGGTATAGTCTGGGTTTCGAGAATACCTGATATAATCACAGGATGAAGGTTTCTGGGAAAGTCCCATGTAGAGATAACACCTACTTTGTAGTAACTTTCACTTAGTTAAAGCTCTAATATCCTCACTCCCTAAAGACAGAGAGAGTATCAGAGGTTTGTAAACACGCTTTTATTTTTAAAAAAAAGTGACAGGAATTGGCCAAGGGAAAAGGAAAAGTAGAGATGATAAAATATGCAACATGGAAAACATTTTTAGTAAGTAATCATAAAAAGACTTTTACTGTTGCTATTAGTAAACCAAAAGTATCTATGTAGTATATTGATTATGGAGCATTTATCTATAACTTGTCTGTGATTGAAAAATAATAATAATGACAACAGACTAAATGGACTGGCTATTTCACACTCCAAAGCAGAATGGAAAAGGTTGTGTGAGGCAGGCAGGGGTGAGTGTCATGCTTCTTTAAGAGGTCTTCCACTGGACCTGAAGGCTAGGCCTAATTGGACAAGCTTGCAGCTGAGCCACATTTGGGTGGCTCTCTCAACCCTTATGATTAAGTGGAAAAAAGCCAGCTGGGTTTCCAGGATGTCGGTGTAGAAGAAGCTGCCTCAGCTGGGAGGAATCGAGCTGATGATCTACAGTGCTGGGGAAAACCTGCAGTGACCCTCTATATCTTTGGCCCATGAGGGGAAGTTATCAGGAAGGGAGGAGACTTCTGACTCTTGTCCCTCAGAGAAAGGGTGATTCTTTGACTTTAAATCCGTCCCTTCCTTGACACTTTCATTGCTCCCACCTAGTTTGATGTTTGATACCTAGTTAATGAAGCCCAGCTTCATTAACACTCACTTATTAGAATAGCCTCCCAATCAACAAGTATTTATTAAGTGCCTACTATGTGCCAAGCACTGTACTAAGCAAGGAAGTATAAAGGCAAAAATGGAATAATCCCTGCCCTCAAGGAGTAGGAATTCTGGGACCTACGGCTAATTCATTTGACTAAATGTACAGAGTGGCACAGTGGATAGAGTGCTGGGCCTGGAGTTAGGAAGACTCATCTTCTCGAGTTCAAATCTGGCCTCAGTCATTTACTAGCTATGTGACCCTGGGTAAGTCACTTCACTCTGTTTGCCTCAGTTTCCTCATCTGTAAAGTGAGCTGGAGAAGGAAATGGAAAATCACTCCAGTATCTTTGCCAAGAAAACCCCAAATGGGGTCACAAAGAGTGGGACATGACTGAAAAACAACTGAACCATAAACAGGCAAAGAGAGACTCTGTGACAACCTAAGGTTGTTGATGGAGAGGTTGGTCAGTTCATGCCACCATTACCACTTAGTACAACAGGCTAAGGGGCATATTGTGGGCAGTGAAGTCAGGCTTCCACAAGAGATTCTTGATGGAAACCTGAGGTGGGGGTAGCATGAGGACTAGTGAAAGAGTAGGAGGAAGTAACCAAGTGATTGGCTAAGGACTATGAGGTCTGCTATAGAAAGGAAGTACTGCTCCCCTCCCATGTCTGTACCCTGGGGCAAAGCCCCAGTCAACTCACTAGTAACTTTGTATCTCTCCTTGTTCCAAAATGGAAGCTGTTAATAATATGATATGGTAATGTAATAATAATGGTAACATAATAACAATATAGTATGGTAATGGAGGCTGAAAAAGGAACTCCAGTGGGCTCATTTTGAAATCAATCTTAAAAGTAGAAGTGGCTAGCCATCTTGATCTCATCTTAAATTCTAAGAGACATGAATTTTCAAACAAAATTGATGTTCGAATGGCCATTCTAGGCTTTACAACAGTCAACTCTTACTTCAAGTATAGTGGGGTCAATCCCCACTGTAACTTCGTAAACCTGAGAGAAAATGAATCAAAGAAGACTCTAAGTTTTCATTGCTAAGAGACAAAAGACTGTATTTCTTTTCTTTTTTTAATATAATATTTTATTTTTACCCCAGTTACATGTTAAAACAGTTTAAAATATTTTTTAAAAAAGTTTTGAGTTCTAAATTCTATCCTTTCCTCCTCTCCCCCCCACCCCGAGATGGTAAGCAATCTGATACAGTTTATACATGTACAATTACATAAAACATTTCCATATTAGTCATTTTGTACAAGAAGACTCAAATTTTAAAAAAAAGGAATGAGAGAGAAAGAAAGAAAGTGAAAAATAGTGAGCTTCAGTCTGCCTTCAGTATCAGTTCTTTCTCTGGAGTATTTCTCTGGCTGTATTTCTTATCACTTTTGTAATAGGCAAGGTTTTTGATCAAACCTGCTCTTCCTCCTGACTTCCTTATTTCTGATGACCATAGTCATCCAGATTTAAAACCTTGTCATTTTCACACTTCCCTCCCTCCCAGCTTCCACCTTTATTCAATTACTTAGTGCAATAATAACTTCATCCTTACCCATCCTAATCCCATCTTCTTCTTCTGAGAGAATTCTCTGGCAGTATGAAGGAACTCCTTCTCTTCCACTCTTGCCTGGTCACATCTTTTTGTAGCGGAGCCAGGATTCAGTCCCAGATCTTATTCAAAATCCACCATTCATTCCATTGCCAAATTGCTCTTCTCCTTGACTGAATGAACTAAATAGCAAAAGAGAACTGAAATGAGGAAGAGGGTGTTGAAAATAGAGGAGCCCATGGGAAAAGGATTGGGAGTACACTGGAGTCATAATTTTGCCAGCCATGTTTTAAAGAACCATAGATGAAAAGTGCTTCCTAAATACAAAAATATTACTAATCAGCTTCTGATTTAATTTAGTTTAATTGTAGTGATTTTAACCGATGCAAATCTAGTTGTAATAGTATCAAGTACATAATGTTTCATGTAAAATAATAACAATAAAAAAATTGAAGGACTGAGTCAACTAGAAGACCTATTAGGTCCTTTCCAAATCTAAAACTGTGATCCTCTTATTTGTATAACTACATATTATATATTTGTGTGGATATGTATGTGTGTATACATACATGTGCAAACACACATGGAGTGCCCCCTTCTAGTACCCTACCAGGTTAACACAGAATGGACACAGAACAATTTTAACCTGTTGTCTCTTGTGTTCTTTTTCATATTGTATGATGGCCAACAGATAACAATCACTTCTCCTAAACTCATACAGACAGCTAGGTGGTATAGTGGGTAAAGCACTGTGCCTAGAGATTCTGAGAAGAGCTGAGTTCAAATGCAGCCTCAGACACTTAATAGCTTTGTGACCCTGAGCAAATCATTTAACCTTGCCCTGGTTTCCTCAACTGTAAAATGGGGATAATAACAGCACCTACTTATTAAGGTTGTTGTGAGGATCAAATGAGGTAATATTTGTAAATTGCTTAGCATGGTGCCTGGCGTTACATAAAAAGTGCTATATGGATGCTTATTCCCTTCCTCTCACAAAACTTTATAAGTAGAAGAGACCTAATCTAGTCCACTCATTTTTCTTGTCTAGATGAAGAACCAAAGCACAAAGAAGTTATGAACTTCTGAAAGTCATATGGTTACTTAGAGGCAAAGCTAAAGCATGAACTTCCCTGTTTCTGCTCTAAAGCCTTTCGTCTCTCATTGCTGTGCCTTCATTCAATCGTCTGCGTGCGCACGCGCGCACACACACACACGCACACTTTTTTTTTCCTGAAAAAGAAATGCTGAAAATTCAATCGTCAACTCAATTTGGTTGTGAGAAAAGCACTTTGTAAACCTTACAATGTTATATAAATATTAGCTATTATTTCTCTCTCTGAGTTCCGCATAAAATAATGTTGATACTCTAAAAATGATTTCTAAGATCTCTTCCAATTCTCAACAAACTGGGATTTGATGAGCCTGTATCTGGCATGCGGGAGCACACATTTGTTCTTTCACTAGCTTGTACTGCCCTCTTCTGGCCGGTTTCTGAGAGGCACGAATAGGTATCCATACCAAACCTACACTTTGAAAGTGACAAGGGATGTATTATGTATCTCCAGCAGCAAGTGATACACTGATAAATGGAGAAACAATATTGATATATTCTAGATAACAATCTTCCTTTGATTTTTTTTGTGCTTTTTTTTAATGTGGTTCATAATTACACAGGAATTCCTCTGTTATGCCTCCCTCTGTATGTGGAATACTGCTAGCAGCCATATCTTCTCTGTTATGCTCTTGTTTATTGCTACAGTGCCAAACACAAAGCCCTTTGGGAGGGTGATAGAACCATTTTGAGTCTGATTCTTAATAAGTCTTGATTCAAGATGTAAATTAGCCACTGAGTATAAATCTTATGTATTTGTTTGTTTAGGATCTGTGATTTCACTGGCATAAGAAACTTTTGGGAAAGAAACTCCTTCTATCAATGCATAACTTCATTTGTTTTGCAATTTATAGTCTTGCAAAGTTGCCTAGAGCAATGACAGGTTAAGTGATTTGTCCAAGGCCACAGCGCCAATATGTACCAGGAATGGGACTAATAGCACCACTACTGCCACTACTATCACCAGCAATAGCTAACAGAGCACTCTACCTATATTATCTCATTTGATTCTTATATCAGCACTGGGAGGTAGGTGCTCTTATTATTTCTATTTTACAGATGAGGAAACTGAGGCAAAGAGAAGTTAAGTTACTTGCCAAGGGCCCTACAGCTAAAAAGTCTGAGGCATGATTCAAACTCAGGTCTTCTTAATTAAGTGCAGCTCTCTATGTACCTCATTACCTAGCTGCTTTATATCACACAGCAGCTTAACCATGAATTGGGAGCTTTAAAAAGAGGGTGTATTATTAAGTCCTCGATATGAGCTAAACTTGAAGAAAATCTAGGCAAGTCTAAAGTCACAAGAAACTATTACACAGTAGCCTGCAAACTCAAAATGAGTCAACAAAATGATATGACAGTTAAATAAACAAATAGACAAATAAATGAATGAGTAAATAAATGAATGAATGAACAGATAAATGAACAAATAAGCTAATAGGATCATATCTTAGGCCAAATTTATAGGAGCATAGTATTTATAAGAAGGCTACAATCTGGACTCTTCATCATGCCCCAGAGATCTTGCAAAATCATTTCAGCCCTGAAATTCACACCTCAGAAGAACTTTACACTCTGTCTTCTTCTGATTATCTGCCTTCTCCCAAAATCTTCTTTTAAAGAGGGTACCCAGACCACCCATCTCTTCACTTCTTGCCAGTCTACAATTTAGACTTCTTCCATCATGCTCCCATACCTGGTATCATCCTGATCTATATCTGGCCACTAGACCCAGATGGCTCTGGAGGAGTAAGTGAGGCTGGTGATCTTGCACAGCCCTCCCTCACTTCAATCCATTTGCAAGTCATGACATCACCTGATGTCATGTTTCTCAAAGAGAACAACAACAATACCTGGTATCTTCCCTTCCCCCATCCCTTTTCAATCCCTTTAATCTTCTTTTCATGTGTTGTCTTTCTCCATCAGAATGGAAGTTCCTTGAGGGCAGTGACTATCTTTCTTTTTGCTTGTATTTGTATTCCCAGCCCTTAGCACAATTTTTGGCCCAAAATAAGCACTTCAGAATGCTTGTTAACTTGACTTAGGGAGTTGGTAGTCAGGTTTTCTGCTCAGGTCAAACCCCATCTGGAATACTGTGTTCAATTATGGGTTCCATATTCTAGGAAAGAGGTCGACAAGTTGGGAACACATCCAAAGAAGTCTGAACAGGATGGTGAAGGAATTAGAAATCAGCTCTTGCTGGGATTGGAACAGATTGAAGGAACTGGGAGTTGTTATTTCATTGAGAGAAGAAATTGATTAAGGAGAATATGATAGCTGTGCTCAGGTGTTGGATAGCTATCACATACTTATTTTCATTCTACTTGGACCCAGAAGGCATGAAGTATCACTTTAATAGGGTGGAGTTGGGGAATTGAGGAAACTATAAGATTTAATATCATACAGCAGCTTAACCATGAATTGGGAACTTTAAAAAGAGGGTGTATTATTAAATCCTTGATGTGACCTAAACTTGAAGAAAATCTAGGCAAGTCTCAAGTCACAAGAAACTATTACACAGTAGCCTGCAAACTCAAAATGAGTTTGGAATAAGGAAGGAAATTACAGAGAGGCAGCTTGGAAGTGAGTCAGATGAAAGCAAAAAGAATGGCCTCAGAAAGTACTGGGCTCCCCCACAGCTAGAAGTCTTCAAGTGAAGACTGGATAGTTATTTACTGGGATATTGATGATGGATACTTGTTCAGGTATGGGTTAAATGACCTGGCCTCCCAAGTAGCCTGCAGCATTATGGAGGACACTCTGGCATGTGAACAAGCAGGGCAGATAGTCACCCTACTTTCTGGAGATCTGTTCAGTGGTAACCCTTGCCCACGGGAAAAAGACTGAATTAATAAGTACTTGAGATTCTAAACAGGTAAGAAGTTCCTCTTTTCAGCTCAATAATTCTGTGATTGCTGAATGTTATCCTGTTGTCCTTAGCCAGTTATCAATCAATCAGCAAGCATCTATTAAGTGTTTACTATATGCCAGGCACAGTGTTGAGTGCTGGGGATACAAAGAAAAGCAAAAATCACAGAAATAGAATCTTCCCTCAAGTAGCTTATAAATGAGTAATAGCCAATTCAGATTCAGCTACATGACTGGATTTTCACTGGAAAAGTAGAGTGTGTATAATGAGTTAAATACAACAGCAACCTACTTTCACTTAAATTATATAATTGCTGGAAATCTGTTTAATGAAGACCTGGATCTAGGATCATAGATGTCAGACTTGAAAGGAGAGTAAAGGTAATCTAGTCCAACCCCCTTATTTGACAAATGAGAAAATTGAGGCAAATTCTGATAGTTGAGGCAGTTTCAGAGGGTGAAGACAATAAGTTGGACAAATGTATACCAAGTATACATGGTTCAAGGCACCAAGGAAAGGAAATCTTATAGTTTCCTCAATTCCCCAACCCCACCCTATTAAAGTGATACTTCATTTATTTATCCATTCATTAAGTTTTCATTCATTCATTCATTCAATAAATATTTAGAGGACTTGTTCTGGATGATGCCAGGCTGGGGATATAGGATATCCCACAAGCAAATAAAATGAGCCGATCTGGAGCATTTCCACTTCTGATTTTTTTCTCCTCTGTGGTGAAGTTCTTAAACTCTGTGTGTGTGTGTGTGTGTGTGTGTGTGTGTGTGTGTGTGTGTGTGATGGACCCCTTTGGCAATCTGGTGAAGCCTCTGGACTTCTCAGAATAATGCTTTTAAATGCATAGAATAAAATATATAGGATTACAAAGGAAATCAATTATTTTGAAATACATCTATCAAATTATTAAAAAAAAAAAAACACGTTCCTGGACCCCATGTTAAGAACCTTTCCTTTAAACTAGTTACATCTGACATTTCTACAGCACTTTAAGATTTCAGAAGTCTTTACACACATGACTTCATTTGAGCCTTGCAACAACCCTGTAAGGTAGTTTGATAGGCTTAATTATCCCCATTTTACAGATAAGGAAACTGAGTATCTCAAAGAGATATTATAACTAACACACTGATGTCACACAAC